GCTTTTAATTCTATCATATCTCCAGAGTCTTATTTTTAAAACCTCTTCAAATACTCTGGGAATGAATAATTTTCTGCCATTTGTCATTTTCACCAAAAATATACCTAATATTTATTTTGTTATATTTGACAACTATATAGTTGCTATTATGTAAGTAGGACCATAATTTATTTTTTCAGTGTCTTCTCAATGGATGGTCTTTTGAAAGTTTTTATTATTAACATTTTCAACATGAATAAAAATACAAATAACACAATGAATATCCATATACTCACCCCCTAGATTCAACCGTGGGAGGGCTTTATCACACTTCTAGACTCCCTAAATTCTTCAGCATGCATATTTCATTAATAAGGATATTTCTTCTTTTCTTCTTTACCATCCTAACATGTTGGACAGTTTTGTCTAGTATTAGAGAAAATCTGTTTTAGTCAGGTTATTTTTGTTTGTTTGTTTGTTTGTTTGTTTGTTTGTTTTCTGTGACCCAAACACCTGACAAGCAATTTTAAAGAAGGAAAAGCTTCTTTGGGACACACAGTTTCAAAGGTCTTAGTCCATAGACAGTCAACTCCATTGCTCAGGACCTGAGGTGAGGCAGAACATACTTTCAGAAAAGTGTGATGGATAGAAGTATTTCAGAACATTACAACAGGAAGTTAAGAGAGAGAGAGACCTCTTCTCACCTGGACAAAATATAAACCCCAAAAGCATGCCCCTAGGGACCCATCTCATCCAGCCACACCCTACCTACCTATAGTTGCCACCCAGTTAATTCCTATCAGGGAATTAATGCATTGATTAGGTTAAGGTTTCATAGCCAAATCATTTTACCTCTAAACTTTCTTGCATGTAAGCTTAGAGGGGACACCACATATCTAAATCATAACAATATCATTACACAGTAGTTCTTATTTATCTGAGGGGGACATTTTCCAGGACATCCTGTAATGCCTGAAATCATGGGCAGTATGGAATTCTGAGGATACTACATCTTCTCCTATCTCTACAGCCCTGTTATGAATAGGATATGAGGTTTCTCCCCAGAAGCACTTGTGTTAGTGCAGGAATGTTCAGAGATGGAATGATTAGGTTATGGGACCTGCAACCTAATCAGTACATCCTTATTTGGAGGATTAACTAGGAGAAAACTGTAGGCAGGTAGGGTGTGACAGGGAAATGGGTCACTGGGGGTATAACCTTGGGGATTATATCTTGTCTTCTTGGCTTCTTCCTCTTTCACTTTGCTTCTTGGCTGCCATGAACAGAGCAGCTTTCCTCTGCTCTGGACCACAGCAATGCAGTTGGCGAACCACGGACTAAACTTCTGAAACTGTGAGCCCCGAATAACCTTGTCTTCTTCTAAACTGTTCTTGTCAGAGATGAACAAGAATATCTAATAACAAGAACATCTAATAACAATATTATACAATATAAGAACATACTATAACAAGTTATGTGTAGGTGGATACTTTCTGCCTACCCACCTCCCCATTCTAACTGTCATGCAGCAGGTAGTACATGCAGCAGGGATCTGCTGAACAAAAAGATGATTCACATCCTGGTCAGGACAGAACAAAACAGTGTAAGATTTCATCACACTACTTAAAACAGCATTTTAAAATGCATGAGTTATTTCTGGAATTTTCCATTGAGGATTTTCTCCACCAAAGTTATCTAAAACCACAGAAAGAAAAACTGTAACTAAGAGGGGAATACAGTCCTATAGTTATAGTTTGGCTAACTTATGCTTATATATTCACAATGTATTCTAAGTAGTAGGATTGCTGGTTCAAAACACAGATATATTTAAAATATTGATAAATTACTAACATATTGTTCTCCAGAAGATTTGCACCAATTTGCACTCCCAACAAACTGTCTATGGAACTCCTTTGAAGGAGAGAGCTTTTGATATTTCTCTCTGGGTGTCTCATCTGGTGATCCCAGCATCCTGTGAAATTCAAAACATGTCAATTAGCACTTGAAAGTCACCATCTCTGTTAAGGCACCCAGAGCTTCTTGAACCCAGGGTTGTTTTTCAGAACCTTAAGCATCCTCTAAAGGAAACAAACTACAGGAAGACATGAATTCCAAAATCTCAACTCTGATTATCTAACTATATCCAAATCACAAAAGGATCTAGTCAACTGTCTCCAGATAAAAGAAAATTCAGTTTCACAGACACACTATCAAAGAGGAAGGAAAAGGAAAGAAGAGCAGACAGCCAGGCAATCTTATTGGGAGAGATTTTGAAGGAGATCATTCTAGAGCCATTTTAATCCCCATTGCACTCTCAGATCAGAGAACCAAATTAAAGTTTCATTTCACAAATGCAAGAAAAAAAATATGATAGCCACAAAACTATTTGTTTTAGATAAAACAATGATTAATAAGTCTTATTCCACTTAATAAAGCTAAAAATTAATTGACCCTCTGTAACATCAAACATCCTATTTTAGACACAAAAGAAAATGTCATTTTCCCAAGATGTGATTAAAACCATTTAAGTGTTGCCACAAGGCTGACAAAGGAAATTGGTGGAGAAGAGGAGCCTTCTGAACTCAACTAGTTGTGCAATAAATAATTAATTACAGCAGGATCTTTGTTTTATTTTTTGATTTTATGGAATATTTTCAACCATCATTGAACACGATGCTCTGGATGTTCTCCTACAACTTTATCACATTAGCAACTAACATTTGAAAAGAGTTGACAAAATTGCCAAAGGGTCTGCATATTTGTTTTTAATTTGATCTTCAGGTTTTGTAGATAAGCAAACAAAGCCTCAGGAAAAAATAATTAAATAGACGGTTTCAATATGGCTAAGAATTTTCAAAGCTGAAATTAAACCCACATGATGCCATTTACATTTAAATATTATCTAATTTAAATATTAATAGGAGTTTATAATAGAAGATACAGAAAATCACAAAAGACTTCAACAGCTAATTTTATTTAGAGATAGAGAATATTAATATTTTCCTACCTACAAATAGATGTAAATATCTATAATTATTTATCTTGTATCAAAATAATATTCGCATTATTTTTTTAAACTTTGTAGAAATAAGAGAGACCTGAAAAACAAAACCTTCCTAGTGTGTCACTGTGTGTGTACATGTTGGTGTGTAGCTTTCCAAAAAGGTTTGCATTTATTGATGGGTTGAGAATACACTACACAAAATATGGCACCTTGGCATTTGAAGAAATAGCAGAGGCAGGAGGGCTATCTGATCTTTCCATCTTTTCTCCTGAATCAGACCATAAAATAATTCTGAGCCCTTCTCCCAAAGTAAGTTAGAAGATGACCCTTACCTCAGAGGGTCCTCCCTACTCCTGGAGGAAAGGAAAGTCACTCGGGGACACAGGAAAGGAGCTGAACAAACAAGTCTTGCTAGTTCCCAGTTTATGACCCCTGGATTTCACCCTTTTGTCTTTTGATCATACTTCTGAACGAGTGTCCACAAAAATAGTTCTCTATTTTTCTCTGGGTCTTCATTTCTGAAGGCTCCCGTTAAATAAATCTGTATGTTTTTTTTCTTTTTTTAACCTTTTATTATAGGTGCCTCAGCCATGAACTTTGCAATGAATGAGAAATCTTTTCTCTCCTAAGATATGTCCACAAGAATTGCAGGATGAATAAGTGTTTCCTGTTGGAACTTGCTATTTTCATTTAAGTATATATTGAGAGTGGTTTTCCACATCAATAAATATTTCCTGTTTGTATTTATTATGATGGTGCTTTTATCATTATAAAAATAACAAAGAACTTAAGAATTCAAGCAGTTTAAAAAACTTCCCTGCTACTCTATCTCCATCAATAATCTTCATCAACAGTTATATATTCTCATATATAACATATACTTTTCTTTTCATATAAATCAACATGCAAAATATGCACTGTTATGAAGATTCTTTTTTTCACTTAACCAAGTGTTATTGAAACCTTTCATTTTATTATACACATAGGATGTGCCATTAGATGATATATCACAATTACCTCAACTGTTATTATGATAAAATTAATTTTTTAGTGGTTTTATTTGGATATCAAAAATATTCTTTCAATAAACATAACGAATAGTAGCCATAGTAATCATCATAATACTGCTGTTGATAGTAGTATTGTCATTGTTGCTACATAACAGGCATTATTTTAAGTGATTCACGTATATTCACATCAACTTTATAAAGTAATCATTATATTACCTAACTTTTACATATAAGGAAAATAAAGGATTTGGAAATTAAATAAGTGACTTAAATTACACTGAAGATAAAATACACTTGCTGATAACTACAAGAATCATTTCTAAAACATTTAAGTCAAATAAAATATACTTTTAAAATTTTGATTAAAATGGCCAAATTGTCTTTTAAATGTGGTTTTACCAATTATATACTCCCAAATCCACTACTCAACAGTGTTGGAAATTGTGAAACTTTGTGACAGTTTAATAGGTGAAAAAATCAAATTATTCTTGTTTATGTTACTTTATTATGAATAATTTCAGGCAACTTTTCACAAAAGTATTAGCAATTTGTAATTATTTTTCTATGTACTGACTATACTATAAATGTTTTATGCTTATAAGGTTGCTTAATATGCTATGAAACATGATTTTGACTGTCATATATTTTGCAAATATGCTTTCCGAGCTTTGCTTTTTAATATTGTTTACAAAATTTTTGCAACTGTATTTTTGAGGCATTTAATTTATTTTTTAAATTTTTTCTATGTTTTTCATTGATACATTAGAGTTGTACATATTGATGGGATTTGTTGTTACATATTTATACATGCACACAATATAACATTTAACTTATTATTTATGTACCCTTTTCATGAAATACTACATATTACTTTTGTAGAAATACTACATATTACTTTTTCACCAAGGGGGGTCAGAAGCAAAAAAGGAAGCACCTGCTCTTCCCAAAGTGAAGCCAAAGTGAAGCCAAAATAAAGTCTTCAAAGTCCAAAAAGGAAGTGCCAAAAAATGTCCTGTCACAAACAGCAACAACTACAACAACAAATTAGATCAACCACCTTTCAGAGGCACAAGGCACTGCAGCTGCAGAAGGAACCCAAATATCCTCCAAAGAGTGCCCCCAGGAGAAACAAGCTCACCTACTCTGCAATCAGCAAGCTCCCCCTGAACACTGAGTGCCAGAGGAAGACAGAAGACCACACACTTGTGCTCACTGTAAATGTCAAGGCCAACAAGCACCAGAGAAAGTTCTGTGACACTGATGGGGCCAAGGTCAACATCCTTGACAATCAGGTCAGGCCTGATGGAGAGAAGAAGACACACTTCCCACTGGCTCTTGATTAGGATGCTTTGGGTGTTGCCAACAAAACTGGGATCATCTAAACTGAACCTGACTAGTGAATTCTAAATATACATTTTTTATCATAAAAAAACTTATTATTTAGCTTTTATACTTTATGTCTGTTTTCATGTCTACTGGATTCATGTGTTCTTCTCCATGTGTCTCTTTTTCTGTTCTTCCCTCCTTCCCTCCCTGCCTCCTTCCTTTCTTTGTTGATAATGGGGTAGGTGGGGTGTTTTGTTTGTTTTGTTTTTTCTTTCTTGTATTTCATTCTATTGCCCTCCATTCAGATAATTGTGTTAATCATGCTCTTCAAAATAAGGCACACAATCATCAAGTTTGCATGTTAGGCCTCCCATTTTTTAAATTTTATTGCATCTACTCTCATTCAATCCCTACTACCTTCCCTCCTCTATAGCAATCTTCTCAAAGATGCCTGATGTATGTTCCTGGTAAAGTCTCATTTGGAGGGAAATGACCAACAACCCTTTCAGATGATCTACCAATCAATCATTTTCATTGCCATCTCTGTTTACATATACAGACTTACATTTACCATGCAATTTGTTATTTTAAATAAAATATTTTAATTTATATAGATGATGTTGCACATAGATATTTCTATTTATTAATAGCATCACACAGCACTGTGTCTTAAAATCTGATCATATGGTTTTATGCCCATATATCACATTTCAATTATCCATTACCATGGATGTAGGCATCCCTGGCCCCTTTCCAACAAATGGCAGTAAATATTCTCACCCTTGTCAGCCTACTATCCTGAGTGAATGGGATCCTTGGCTCCCATAAAATACTCAATCTCCATTTCTCAAAGTGTTGCCAGATGGCTCTACAAAAAGAAGACATCATTTTCCATTTTCAATAGCAGTTAACATTTTCTTTTCTCCATCTTGACCAACACCAGGAATTATCTAACATAACAGTCTTTGCAATATTGAGCAAAAAAATTAGATTTATTTCTTTTAAATTGCATTTCTCTGATTATAACTAAGATTGAGCATCTCTTCAATTTTCGTTAACTATTTAAGTTTTATATCTTTTTCATAGTCTAATCATTGCAGTGCTTGGCAGTTGATGGAGAGACTGATGACTTGAAATGAATTGTTGCCAAAGCCCAATCTCAGGGTAAGCTTCTAAATTCAGTTATGATTTCTCAACTATATGTTCACTTTCAATTCATTATCTGTCTGTCTTCCTAGCTAGGGCTGTTGTAAAACCAAATCCATAGTCCAGTATGGTTTGTTTACCCTGCTGGGCATTCTGATTGCTCAGAAACTACTTCTGATTGGGCCATATCTAAAGCAAACAAGCTCTTGATTTATTTATTTGTCTGTTTTTTTGTTGTAGATGAACATAATATCTTTATTTTATTTATTTATTTTTATGTGGTGCTGAGGATTGAACCTAGTGCCTCCAAATGCTAGGCAAGCGCTCTACTACTGAGCTACAATTTCAGCCCCTTGATTATTTTTAATATCACCTTTGTTTCTAACACTTAAAATTAAACAGAAGTCTTCTCATTCTTTCCCTCTTTCTTCCATAAAAACATTTTTATAGCAGTGTGATAAAATGACCTTAAGGTAAAGTTTGTGACTAAGCCTAGAAAACTGATAATCAACACGAGACCAAGAAATGGAATTTGTGAGGAAATGGATTGGAAAGGTACAAAATAATGAATAAGTGGTGCTGAAAAATGGTTGAAAAGTTTGGAAAGTAATGTGGGGGTGGGGATCAGGTGACAACTGGTTTGGTCCAACAATTACACTCCTAATTTGCCACACAAAACAATTCCAAAGAGTAAACCTAGGCTTTACCCAAAGATATGCACTGTTGTCATGTTTATTTGGGGGCAAGAAAGCTACATTTGAAAAGGAGGTTAATTTGATAATTTGATTATTTTGGGTAAAGCCTGAACTAGGAATTCTTAATTTTATTTTCATTTTTAATTTTATCTTGCTATTTTTGTTATTTTATTTCGTGATAAAGTTTGAAAAAAATATAAGTTAAAAGACATAATCTTTACCTCTTAAGATACAATAAAATTTTCAAATGTCTTAATTGTGTGAGGCAAGGCTTAAGGGATAGAGAGAGTGCTTGGACCAAGTGCAGGTGAAGGAACAAAAAAAACAGCAGCAGTCAGAGCCTCTAGCATCTGAAAATCAGATGTTCACAAGAGCAATTTGGGGTTTATGTATTAAATGGGTCTTCAGGAGCAACTGTTCTAAAATGAAATACGTGCTGAGCATCCTATTAAGAGCCAACACAAAGTCAAGAAATGCTATCTGCATCCATAATTGTAGGACTCAAATTAAAATATCGACCCAGCTTTGCTCCCACAGCACCTGAGCAAGGCGTCCCTTGTTAAAGTCTCTTCTTAGATTGCTGAGCACTGGTAAAGGGAAGCCTTTCACTGAAGGAGGCCGAGATTTCTCTTCTGGCATTCACAACTCTAATCCATCTCTTTTGAGTGTGAGAATACATCTCCACCCTCACATAAATTCATATCCTAATGATGAAGGTAAATGGGTTAACTGTTCAGATTTCATTATGGAATAGTGAGCTTACCCGGGTCTATTTAAATAGGAACACCTGGATGGGAACTAAAAATTTTGACAAATTCCTATATTGCAACCATAGGTCTTCTTTGAAGAGATTTATATTGCCGTCACACGGTGGAGATGGAAAAGTTATTATCTATATGCTGATGATTCCTAAATACTAATCCCCAAGTTAAAACATCTATCTCTGTAGTACAACCCACGTAAATCAATTGTCAACTGGCCATTTCTATCGGAGTATCTTGAAAACACCTGAAAATAATTGCATTCAATAGCAAACACATCACCTTCCCACGCAAGACCTGCTACTCTTCAAATCTCTACCCCACATAACATTACCACTATCCACCCGTCCTCCCAAGCAAAGTTATTCTTGGTTTCTCCCTCTCTCACCTCCCACAAGCAAACTCTCGCTAAATTCCACCCATTATGTCATCTATGTATCGGTCAGATCTATTCCTTTCCCAGCACCCCTTATCATCTTATCATCGTGGGACTTGTTAAGCTTCATGGTAATTGGATGTTTAGATGTGAGTTCACTTGAACCACTGAACAACACGTTCCTCAGAGTTGTGTTGCTTACTATTGTGTTCCCAGAATCTAATCCAGTCTGGAGTATAGAAAGCATTACATAAACATGTTTAAATCACTTAAACTTTCAAATCCGGAAACTTGATCGTAAATAAAAATTCATAGGAGATAAAATTCTACTAAATGATAAAATATTTCCAAAGGCTGAAAATACAGATGAACATAAAAAGAGCCTATTTATTTCATCTTACTACTTAAATAAAATGTGTACTTGGTTCTTTGTTAATGCTGGAAACTGTGCTATAGATCCCCGTAAAATGTATTTTATTATAACAACTTTGTAGATTCCTCACACATAAAGTACTAAGGCTAAAAACAAAATCAAGTACCTTATAAATAACAGTATCTCCTATATTATATTACTTGGTTTTTTTTTTACTAACCCCTTGGGAAATAAATAGGGATATTAAAACTATCATTATTTTACAGATAAGAAATAAAGACTTAGAGGAGATGAAACTCAAATGTGGGTTTCCTTGGTTTTCATTTGAAGTTATCTACATTGTGTTATGAAGTATATAAAATAGATTGTCAAAAAAATGACTTAATCCAGCTAAACCTATCAATATAAGATAATGGACAGAGAAAACTACTTGTTTCATTTTAAATAAGAATCTGAGTCTTAGCCAAAACTAAAATTCCCCAAACTACACCTCTAGATGTTTCCTTCCCCTGAAGATGCTCAAAACAATATATACATTAAATTAAATTCATATTAAACTTGGGACCCCCCCCAATTGACTTCTTAGTTTTTTAAGCGATATACATTTAAATAACAATTTAAAAGGCCACATTTAGGGCTGGAGATGTGGCTCAAGCAGTAGCGCGCTCAAGGCCACATTTAAATGTTTGCATTACTTCCCCTGGCTCAAAATCAGATGAGGGGATGTTATTTTTTTTGGGGGGGGGACAAAATTCTATATAAAAGAGAAGTTTGGTCACCACAACACAGCAGTATTTGGATTTTGGTTTGCATCTTTCTCCACTAGAATCCTCTTCTGTGAGTACTTAATTCAATCCATGGAAAATCTGTTACAAGACCACCAAGGAAAAACCAGAATACATTGTTCCTGACTCTGATCTCTGCAGTTAGCAATGCAAACAGCATTCCAATGGGTTTATGCTAAGTGGTTAAGCACATAGTTTTGGAGAGGAACATCTTGGATTCTGGTCCTAGCTTCATAAAAACCTATTTTAGTGTCCTGAACAAGTTGCATAAGTTGCCTAAACTTGTTTTATAATTTATAAATTTTCTATAATTATTCAAAATACTATCCATCACGTAGCTAACAAAGTGTCAGACATATAAGTTATTAATAAGCTTACCAGCAGTTCTTAAGAGCAGAATTACATGTAGTCAAATGTGGGAGAAGCCTTAACAATCACTTATCTAGCCCAGCATTTTATCAGCTTATAAACCAATTACCAGAGAGTAACAAGTAATTGGTTCAAACCCACAGACTTAGATTTTCAGTGCAGCAGGGGCTTCCTGCGGTCAAAGAGTGACTCTCAGGGCTTCTTTATCACTGATTTCTGGGCATCACTTCCAGCGTTTCTGATTGAGTAGGTCTAAGTCAGATCCAGCAATATTTGTGTTTCTTTTTTCTTTTCTCTCTCTCTCTTTTTTTTTTTTTAAACCAGAGACTGAACCCAGAAGGGGCCTAACCACTGAGCAATATACCCAGCCCTTTTTAATTTTGAGATAGGTTTTCACTAAATTGCTTACAGTCTCATCAAGTTGCTGAGGCTAGCCTCAAAGTTGTGATCCTTTTGCCTCAGCCTCCTCAGCCGCTTGGATGACAGGGGTACACCACCATGCCCAGCTAATT